TTCGGTTATTAACTGATCAAGGCCGTAAACTTCAGCAATATTAGATAAGATATTTGTACTGTTGTCAAACTTAGGCGCGGCCATATTACAATTCAGATCTCCTAAGACGTAATATTCGATATTTTCAGAGTCTAGTTTTCCAATAAGTTCTTCAAATGGTTTAAAAAGATCAATAGAAGAATCAGGGGGTCTATACCAGGTCATAACGGCAAAAGGCCTTGATCTGGGTTTCTTGATTTCGACAGTCAGACTTTCTAAGTGTTCACATATTAGGTCAGAGCGAACAGAATAATTGATTTCGGAACGAATAAAAAAACAAACACCCCCTCCAGACCTACCGTTGGTAGAGCGATCGCTACGAATAGATTCATAGCCAGAAATATGAATTTCATTATCGCTTATTGTGTCATCCAATTTAGATTCGTTTATGGCTAAGATATCGATAGGTCTGTCGGAAAGCAAAATTCTTAGTTCGTCAATGTGTGCAGATAGACTATTAATATTTAGCGAGGCTAATTTAAAGCCTCGTTTAGACGGGAGAAGTTCATGAGAAACGATTAGATTTCCAAGGTCGCGATTACGCTCTGAATTAAACGAACGGCGAATAGGTCAATTACATTCATCTAATTTATTCGCGAAGTTGTTATACATTTTGGCAATACCTGTCTCACCAAGATGAAGTCCTCCTCTATTTAGGTCCGTAGAGTGAATGTCATCGTGGCGTATGAAGTGCCACTGACGCTGATTGCAGAATTTTCGAAGCCTTTTATTGACAGCATCAACATCGCCGCTAGCTGAGAGGTCCGATCTTGTGACCAGCTCTGATATTATTACTTGGGCATCAGTGGAGCTTTCAATTTCCCTCGCTAGGTCAACGATGTTATCGGCGATTTCGCTAGGGGATAGTTTTCCAATGTCGTTAGTACCAGCATGTAAAATGATCTGGTCAGGCTTCTTGTCCAGTGTTGGTTTCACATAATGTGACATATCACTTGTTGTAGCTCCCGCGAAGGACTTTACAACATCTCGGTGGCCAACCTCTTTCCCTAATTGCCACCCTTGTATGTTTCTGATGATAGAATCGCCGATAATGACGGTGGTCGGCGAGGGCCCTTCTTGGTTGTGGTTAAGAGTATTAGAGCTGTTCCGAGAACTCTACTTCTTTCGATCCAGTTGTTGTTAATGGCATGCCTATTGATTTAGTTACTAGTGCCAAAATACTAGGCCTTAACAACTCCAATGATTTGAAATGGAATTGTCACATTGACTCCATTACTAAGAAAGCTAAAAAGCGCTTGTATAGCTTATCTCAGCTTAAACGCTCTGGTATCGGTACCCGTGAGTTAGTCCAGTTTTTCTGCACTTGCATTTGTCCGATCACAGAGTACGCGTGTCCTGTCTTTCATGACGGCCTCCCCGTGTACCTCTCCAACGAACTTGAAGGAGTACAAAAGCGGGCTATGCGTATCATTTTTCCTCTTTGCTCATACAATGAGGCCTTGGTTGAATCAGGCCTAACTAAACTTCCAGACCGCCGCCAGGAACTAGTTGATAAACTATTTAAGGATGTTTTACAGAACGAACAGAAACAGCTCCATGAACTTCTTCCTGCTCGCAACACATGTACCTTTAACCTATTCTAAGAAATATGCGGAAGATTAAGCCAGCTTTTAAGACGAACAGGTTTCGTAGTAGTTTTATTACCTTTAACGCCCTTAAGGCTTGAACGGTTTTAGTAGATTTTTAAACCTCCTCTAGATATTTTTTTAGAACATATATATAGTGTCCTTATTTGCTATTTTAAATCACTTGTAGTCTTTTTAATGTAATTATCAATATTCAATTTTTTGTAAATAATCGTATAATTCAACTTTTAGTTGCAAATCGGTTATTAATAAACTATCTATCTATCTATCTATCTATCTATCTAAATGAGCTAATCAAGTCGACGGGCGGTTTGTAGTAGCTTGGTCAGTAAGGCATGTACATTTAGTGTAATGGATAAATGTTTTAAATTAAACTGCTTCTAAAGAAACCAAGCGGAATGAAAAATAAATACAGTAACCAATTCAATATTTAATCAGTCTCTCATACTGAGATAAGAGGGCGGGAGGGGGGTGCTACACACTCCTCTCAGCTTCAGCCCTTGAATAATCATTAGCTTCTTCCCTAAATGAAACATCCGTATCCATAGTTGTTTCTCCCTTTTAATTTAAAGAAAGTTCTTACTCTCCTTACCTTATGATTTCCTTCCATCTCCTTCATTGTGTTCCTCAGTCTCTCAAACGTAGGACGATCCACTGGGTTTTCCCTCCAACAGTCAAGCATAATCTGATAGCTAATCGAGAGAAACATATTCATCACTACATTACTAACTAAACTAGGGGAGGGGCCTGGACCCCGATTATTTCTGGTCGAATTCAACCCCCCGGAGGGCCGATAAATATTTTTGACGAGGCCGGTCCCCCTCTAATAATATATAGATTTAGCCAGGGCTAAAAGCGAAGCTCCCGTTAATAAATTCATAATTTAAATCAAACAATAAACTTGTAATGCACAGATCAGGGCACATTCGTTTGACTTTTGAGGCAAAGGCTAAGTGATTTTAGAGAAAAAATAATTTGACAGTCCAAGAGTGAAGCAAATTTTACACCGAGTTATTAAATAGTCTTATTTGTACACCCAAAAATAGATTTCATGTTCGATCACAGTAGATTAGGCCTGAAAAACAAATAGATCTATTCGCTTATTGTATTTGCATTAGCTGTTGCATCATAATGTGGCATTCACCAGTCTCTCCAACATTGCTCCGTTAGAGAGACTATGGATAATTGGAAAACCCCGAAATACAATTTTAAGAAACACACGCGCCACGATAGTCCTTGGTGGCAGCCAATTTACACGTTACATTCCTCTGTCTAAAAGAGAGGCCAAAATAAAAATCAGTCCCGCGGATTTTGTGTTCGACAAGTTTAGGTTAATAGTAAATCTTGGCGACGAATCTGGTGGCGTGTAAACCAGCCTTTTAAACATAATTTTTCTCATCACGTCTCAAGTAAACAGTACTATGAGGCCCTTTTTTTTATCATACAGACCTTGGACAGAATTTGTTCTTTTTTGCCCTATTTAAACCTATAATTCTGCAGTTTTCACAATTTTGCAAGAGAATTTGCACTCAATATCCACGACGATCAAATCACGCGCTTCCTTTGCACCACAAATTATAGCATTGAATTATAAAACGTTTTCATTAAGAGAATTCTATAATGCCGGTACTTTTCAGTCAGAAAAATCTGGTGCTATGTGATATGCAGGGTAATAATTATGGGCTTTTAATGAAAACGATAAAAAAATCACTTTTCGGCCAGCCGGACGGGTTCTCACTTTTTAAGGGCACCAGATTTGCAGTGCGATTAATAGAGTTACCATTTACGCTTCAACATGATAGAGAAATTGTTATACTTAGGTTTTATTTCCCTTTATTTATTAAACTGTGTATGGTTTTGTTATGTGTAATCTTTAAAAGCGAGTGATATTTACGCGCGGCGTTTTGAGTATTCCAGCATGCGATGTTTATAATCGACTGGAAACAACCGGTGCAGCGATAAAAATTGCGAGAGGGACTACTAACAATCAATAAAATAAATATAATTCGGTAAAACATGTACAGAGACAATAATTTTCATTCACGAAGAGAAGTATTGAGAGTAAAGTGTCTCTGAAAATCATGAGTCAGGTAAGCATGAGCTTATTTATGTTTTAAGCGGGCTTCCCTGTGTTTGCTCTTTTTCAAGATGAACTCGAGGCAAAAAAATCGCTCAGAGCTTTCTTTTTACAGCCAAAATCATAACTAAATAATTTTCGGAACCTTTTCTTTGAATTTGCGGTCAAAAAAATGTCTAAAGGCTTTTTAAACCTGAGACTGTTGTAGGTTAGATCATGCTCGTGTATAAACTTAAGCGGCATAAACCATACGCTCGACTTCAGCAAACCGAAAAAAAAAAAACACATCAAAGACAATAATTGCTCAGGCTTACCAGTCGAGATGCTGCTTCTGAAGTCATCAAGTGTTCCAGAATCGCTTAAGACTTTTCAACCCTCTTATGCCTCAAGCAAGGGCAAGTGAGTAAGTTCATTTTTGAAAACGATGCTATCCGAAATCAGATTTCCAATGACTTTGACAAGCGGTGCATTTGTCAACAAAAAGCGCAATAAACAAACCAGCCATGAATTACAGAACAATCTTGATAGCAGCTGTATTTCATTTTGTACACCAAGTAGAAAAAGACAGTTTAAAACATCACAAGACGACACAAGACTCTGTCAGCCCCAGCTATCGTAAGCAAGTTACCAGACGCTGCATAAATTTTCCGCATGAACTCACCTGTCAAATTTTGACCAATCAGAACATAAAAATTGGACGTAGAGGGTGATCAACGCGTGACAGTGAGAAAAGTCAAAAGCGACTGCCTTCCCTGCATGTAAATGTGAAAGCCGGTTGAATTTTCGCGTCCGAGGTCAGTTCGAAATCAACGTTTTAAAAGGGCGGCTCATGAACACGACTTATTTCATATGCAGTTTAAAAAAATTGAACTTGAGCCTGCGATCATTTTAAAAGTAGCGACTTGTCTGCGGATGCCTTCAAAAAAGCATCCGAGCTCAATGGGTCGATACCTGAGCCCAAAAAAAAAGTGAGAATAAACATTGGTATCCCGGTGGTGCGGACGGACGGAAGGCCGGGTGGTCGGTGTACAGTCACGTGATTGCCGAATTTTCTAGGATGGATAGATTTTCTAAGCTGTGGGGCTTCGAACTGAGCCCGTGATCAAAACTTTAAACACTACGGGCCAATACACTTAGGTAATGATGGTCAGCGTATACTCTACTTTGACAGCTGTCAATTAACCTTCATTAGACGGGTGAATATTCGAATTAACAGACTACGAGTGTGAGTAGGGCGGATGAGTAAGACATATCCGTCCGGCATTTATTGGAAAATGCCAGATCGTGTACCTGAGCGAACCTGAGCCCACGTTATTAGTTTTCTGATAGTGGTCTGCACAAGTCCCATTTTGACAGTTGTCAATTGACCTTAATTTGGCTTGCCAATATAACTTTAAACGACTGTCAGCCAACTGAAAGCCTTGCCCGGCGTAATTTCGTTTTTATTTTGAATTGGTAAGTGTGACATATTATATCAGCTTATATGTAGAGGCAAAACGACTGGTCTTTCATCTGAGCCCGCGAGATGGTCATGTGATAATTGTCAGCGGATGTCTGATTTTGACAGCTGTCAATCTAATAGTACTCATACGGATGGCTTACATAACTAAGAGGCTAGTCAAGTTGTGCAAGATCTATTGTGACATTTGACATCGGCTTACATGAGGTGTGTGTACGGGTGGGCGGGCGGGCGTTTTAAATCACTTGTAGTCTTTTTAATGTAATTATCAATATTCAATTTTTTGTAAATAATCGTATAATTCAACTTTTAGTTGCAAATCGGTTATTAATAAACTATCTATCTATCTATCTATCTATCTATCTAAATGAGCTAATCAAGTCGACGGGCGGTTTGTAGTAGCTTGGTCAGTAAGGCATGTACATTTAGTGTAATGGATAAATGTTTTAAATTAAACTGCTTCTAAAGAAACCAAGCGGAATGAAAAATAAATACAGTAACCAATTCAATATTTAATCAGTCTCTCATACTGAGATAAGAGGGCGGGAGGGGGGTGCTACACACTCCTCTCAGCTTCAGCCCTTGAATAATCATTAGCTTCTTCCCTAAATGAAACATCCGTATCCATAGTTGTTTCTCCCTTTTAATTTAAAGAAAGTTCTTACTCTCCTTACCTTATGATTTCCTTCCATCTCCTTCATTGTGTTCCTCAGTCTCTCAAACGTAGGACGATCCACTGGGTTTTCCCTCCAACAGTCAAGCATAATCTGATAGCTAATCGAGAGAAACATATTCATCACTACATTACTAACTAAACTAGGGGAGGGGCCTGGACCCCGATTATTTCTGGTCGAATTCAACCCCCCGGAGGGCCGATAAATATTTTTGACGAGGCCGGTCCCCCTCTAATAATATATAGATTTAGCCAGGGCTAAAAGCGAAGCTCCCGTTAATAAATTCATAATTTAAATCAAACAATAAACTTGTAATGCACAGATCAGGGCACATTCGTTTGACTTTTGAGGCAAAGGCTAAGTGATTTTAGAGAAAAAATAATTTGACAGTCCAAGAGTGAAGCAAATTTTACACCGAGTTATTAAATAGTCTTATTTGTACACCCAAAAATAGATTTCATGTTCGATCACAGTAGATTAGGCCTGAAAAACAAATAGATCTATTCGCTTATTGTATTTGCATTAGCTGTTGCATCATAATGTGGCATTCACCAGTCTCTCCAACATTGCTCCGTTAGAGAGACTATGGATAATTGGAAAACCCCGAAATACAATTTTAAGAAACACACGCGCCACGATAGTCCTTGGTGGCAGCCAATTTACACGTTACATTCCTCTGTCTAAAAGAGAGGCCAAAATAAAAATCAGTCCCGCGGATTTTGTGTTCGACAAGTTTAGGTTAATAGTAAATCTTGGCGACGAATCTGGTGGCGTGTAAACCAGCCTTTTAAACATAATTTTTCTCATCACGTCTCAAGTAAACAGTACTATGAGGCCCTTTTTTTTATCATACAGACCTTGGACAGAATTTGTTCTTTTTTGCCCTATTTAAACCTATAATTCTGCAGTTTTCACAATTTTGCAAGAGAATTTGCACTCAATATCCACGACGATCAAATCACGCGCTTCCTTTGCACCACAAATTATAGCATTGAATTATAAAACGTTTTCATTAAGAGAATTCTATAATGCCGGTACTTTTCAGTCAGAAAAATCTGGTGCTATGTGATATGCAGGGTAATAATTATGGGCTTTTAATGAAAACGATAAAAAAATCACTTTTCGGCCAGCCGGACGGGTTCTCACTTTTTAAGGGCACCAGATTTGCAGTGCGATTAATAGAGTTACCATTTACGCTTCAACATGATAGAGAAATTGTTATACTTAGGTTTTATTTCCCTTTATTTATTAAACTGTGTATGGTTTTGTTATGTGTAATCTTTAAAAGCGAGTGATATTTACGCGCGGCGTTTTGAGTATTCCAGCATGCGATGTTTATAATCGACTGGAAACAACCGGTGCAGCGATAAAAATTGCGAGAGGGACTACTAACAATCAATAAAATAAATATAATTCGGTAAAACATGTACAGAGACAATAATTTTCATTCACGAAGAGAAGTATTGAGAGTAAAGTGTCTCTGAAAATCATGAGTCAGGTAAGCATGAGCTTATTTATGTTTTAAGCGGGCTTCCCTGTGTTTGCTCTTTTTCAAGATGAACTCGAGGCAAAAAAATCGCTCAGAGCTTTCTTTTTACAGCCAAAATCATAACTAAATAATTTTCGGAACCTTTTCTTTGAATTTGCGGTCAAAAAAATGTCTAAAGGCTTTTTAAACCTGAGACTGTTGTAGGTTAGATCATGCTCGTGTATAAACTTAAGCGGCATAAACCATACGCTCGACTTCAGCAAACCGAAAAAAAAAAAACACATCAAAGACAATAATTGCTCAGGCTTACCAGTCGAGATGCTGCTTCTGAAGTCATCAAGTGTTCCAGAATCGCTTAAGACTTTTCAACCCTCTTATGCCTCAAGCAAGGGCAAGTGAGTAAGTTCATTTTTGAAAACGATGCTATCCGAAATCAGATTTCCAATGACTTTGACAAGCGGTGCATTTGTCAACAAAAAGCGCAATAAACAAACCAGCCATGAATTACAGAACAATCTTGATAGCAGCTGTATTTCATTTTGTACACCAAGTAGAAAAAGACAGTTTAAAACATCACAAGACGACACAAGACTCTGTCAGCCCCAGCTATCGTAAGCAAGTTACCAGACGCTGCATAAATTTTCCGCATGAACTCACCTGTCAAATTTTGACCAATCAGAACATAAAAATTGGACGTAGAGGGTGATCAACGCGTGACAGTGAGAAAAGTCAAAAGCGACTGCCTTCCCTGCATGTAAATGTGAAAGCCGGTTGAATTTTCGCGTCCGAGGTCAGTTCGAAATCAACGTTTTAAAAGGGCGGCTCATGAACACGACTTATTTCATATGCAGTTTAAAAAAATTGAACTTGAGCCTGCGATCATTTTAAAAGTAGCGACTTGTCTGCGGATGCCTTCAAAAAAGCATCCGAGCTCAATGGGTCGATACCTGAGCCCAAAAAAAAAGTGAGAATAAACATTGGTATCCCGGTGGTGCGGACGGACGGAAGGCCGGGTGGTCGGTGTACAGTCACGTGATTGCCGAATTTTCTAGGATGGATAGATTTTCTAAGCTGTGGGGCTTCGAACTGAGCCCGTGATCAAAACTTTAAACACTACGGGCCAATACACTTAGGTAATGATGGTCAGCGTATACTCTACTTTGACAGCTGTCAATTAACCTTCATTAGACGGGTGAATATTCGAATTAACAGACTACGAGTGTGAGTAGGGCGGATGAGTAAGACATATCCGTCCGGCATTTATTGGAAAATGCCAGATCGTGTACCTGAGCGAACCTGAGCCCACGTTATTAGTTTTCTGATAGTGGTCTGCACAAGTCCCATTTTGACAGTTGTCAATTGACCTTAATTTGGCTTGCCAATATAACTTTAAACGACTGTCAGCCAACTGAAAGCCTTGCCCGGCGTAATTTCGTTTTTATTTTGAATTGGTAAGTGTGACATATTATATCAGCTTATATGTAGAGGCAAAACGACTGGTCTTTCATCTGAGCCCGCGAGATGGTCATGTGATAATTGTCAGCGGATGTCTGATTTTGACAGCTGTCAATCTAATAGTACTCATACGGATGGCTTACATAACTAAGAGGCTAGTCAAGTTGTGCAAGATCTATTGTGACATTTGACATCGGCTTACATGAGGTGTGTGTAGGGGGGGGCGGGCGGGCGTCCGTTACGTCATAACCAAATTTTCTCGGATGGATAGTTTACCAAATTTTCTTACCGATGGTGCTCCGCTGCGCGCGCTTCGCGCGCGAGAGCTCCGCTATTAGGCTCTGGATGAGCGGGGCCCCACTTATTCCAGAGGATCTGAATACGCAGGAACAGTTACGGAAACCTAATATTCAAAGCATGGCTACTGATTTTTAGAACTGAATCCGTACTCATAATTTTTTTCACTTCTTAGAACTTTCTTTTCCCTACTCGTATTATAACTCACAGTTTAATCTCAACGTGTTTTGGTTTTGGCATTCTGTATCCTTCCTGAAGTTTCTGGGCGATTTTACGGGCATCTATATCCGGATATGGAGATCCACCTGGAAGAAATGAAGCTATACTAGGAAGAAGAGTACATAACAGAAAGGAATGTTTTTCTGTACTAGCGAAAACATATAAGGGAAGTTTACGCGATTTGAACAAAATTAATATTAATTCGAATTGGTAAAACTTGCCTCTGAGTTTTGGAATGTTTTGTTTCTCATAAGAACAGTACACAATATTATTTAAAAAGATAATAAAAACTGATCAAGCATTGTTTGTTTGTTTGCTCAATCATTCCGATATGATTATTGACATTAAGGTACAGGGAGTTTTGCTTTTGTTTCATTTTGTATCTGTTCTATCTATTACGAACCATGTAAAACAAGAACAAAATAGAGTACACAACAAAATATCAGAATGAACAATTTTCCCAACTCACCAACAGTAAGAATCTCGTAAAGTGCGACGCCATAACTCCAGCTAGAACAAAACAATCCGAGTCAGCAGTTATAACTAACTAAAAAGATGAAGAGTAGGCTCGTGCACCGGCTTTTTAAAAGCTACAGTCACGTTTGAACTTGTCTTTCATTTTGTTGAGATAATTATCGTTGAAGTTTAATTATTGAACGTAACATACCTTTCTTTTTAGGCATAAAAGAGACAGACGAAAGCCTTGTGACTCATTGGAAAAGACAACGTTCTACATGCTTAACGTGAAAAAAATGTTGACTTTAATAAAAAACATACTTACACATCACTCTGTGTAGTGTATGTTCCATACATCAACGATTCATAAGCAGTCCATTTCACTGGCAGACGTCCCTTAGAAAACAATCAAATTAGAATCAATAATAATTTTTTTAAATTTAATTTCCGCCCTTTAGCCGATGTTTTGATTGTTTTTACCTTCTCAGCAACTTTTTAAATGCCGCTAACGATAATCGAGCTTTCAAAGTAGCAATTTGAGCCCCTGACTACAGATTCTACGCAATTTTGTGATAAAACCCAACATGATTTGAAATTAAACGGTGTGCTTAGTTGAACTCACGCGACTCGTTTTGTTGTAAATGTCTTCTTGATGCACATCCCTTGCCATTCCAAAATCTGTCACCTTACATTTCTCTCCTTCACCAACCAGAACATTTCTTGCAGCCAAGTCACGATGGATAATCTACATCACAAAAATTTTTTATAAGGGCTTTTTCAAAAATCGAATCAAGATAAAAATAAGATTCTTTTCAAAGCTGTGCTTAGGGCCTCCTCACATGAGCCCGGTTTCCAAGATCTCGCTTATTTACCTCTAACTTCAATGTGTTCATATGAGAGGGTGGGCTGGCTCGGTTCCCCAGATCTCGCGCGCGGTTTTTCCAACCAGGACTTTGGAAACCGGGCTTAAATTTCACATTTGAACCCGAGGCCAAATTGGTCCCGGCAACTGGGCTCATCTGAAGAGACAAATTAATTTGATAACTTTTTTTGTCATGACAGTTCGTTGAAGACAATCGCTTGATATAGAAAAAAGGAATCCTATCTAATACGGAAAGAAGGTTTTTTTTTTTTTTTACAAACTACATCCTGAATTTAAAACATTTAGTTGCTAGAGACGATAGAGGAAAAGATGCGATGGTACTTTTTTGTTCTATTTTGAGTAACCGCCAAGAAAGGCCATTGCTAGAGAAAGTTATCAGCAAGACAAAGATCCTCCTGATTCCGCTGCGCCTGGTGTAAGTTTCCCATGGTGCCTAATGTGAGATGTCGTGAGATTTTACCTCATTGTTTGCCTTCGAAACTCTGTGTTTCTTTCATACTCGCCTAATAGAGCAGTCTCTTTTATGAGTATGGCAAGGACTGCTCCTATTACACCTCTCACACAATGTATTGCATATGACGAGGAACGCAAGTGGAGCACCTTGTTCAGCTTGTTCAGAAAAGACTGGTACCAATGACCACATGAGCTGCTGGTCACAAACTCACACAACGAGCTCGGACCCTTCACACCCACGGGATAGGTATCTCTGGACAACATCGTTTATGTAACTTTTTAAATAGATTTATTTGAAATTTATATATTCATTACGTGGTATTCATTATTTGAGCATAATAATGTTTTGTTTAGAATTGGGCAAGGTTTGTAAGACTAACACTTAAGCTTCTAATTAAGCTGTGAGTGCTCAATCGTATGTTCCATAAAGGTTTATCTTGTGGATAAATGTTCATAATATAATATCTTTCAGTTCCAATATCAGTTCTCAAGTCAAATTGTTACTTCTAGTTGAAAGCACAATTAAAGCAAACCTTTTTTGAGGATAAGTAACACATTCCATCTGCCACCTGCCAAGCGAATTTCATTAACTGTTCTGCTGAAAGATTGGTCTGTGGCTTCATATCCGGGTCCTTAAAGTACGTGTCGTTCAGTCCTCGACTCTTCCTCAAGTAGCCCAGTAGGTCACCGTACGGGACATACTCAATTAAAACCAACAAGGGCTCTATGGTAACCAATATAATAACATAATCTTCAAACCTGAGTTCCTACTTATGACATATCGTTAGAAAATTCTCCGATTTACTCTCCGAGCAAATATTAATGATTTTGTTCGTACTAAAAGACATAGAATGAAACGTTAGTACCTTTCTGTGAAGATTATGTGAACTGCAACAATACAAAATCTAACTGGAGGTATGATCATTGCAGGTTTGATGCAATTTAGGGAACAGAAGCGAAGGCCAAAAATAAAAAGCCCTGAATTGCAGTGAAACCCCGCTTTACAGACATCCGCTAAACGCGGACACTTTTTTTTTTTGCGGGCACTTTGCTTTGTCCCTTAGGAAAGAAAGCCTTCAGTTAATACCGACACTTTCTATGGTCCCCTCACTGTCCATATAAATTTAAACTGGATTTAACCGCAACATTATTTCATTTTCTTTGACACTTTGCAATATTTCTTTCAAACATACTTAAAAAAAAATAGGCGTTTTTTAGAAAAATGAGAAAAAGTTATTTTTTCCCAAAATTTAAGAGTGTATACGTGAACTGGCATAAATGCAATGATAATTGTAACAAGGTTTCAAAATAGGCAACAAATGATAACATAACAGCTGCTCTTTAGACGTCTTTTTTTGAAATATCAGCACAACTAGGAAGTTATCAGCAGTTACCCCTCTCCACGCGTTTGCCTCAAAAATAGTGTAAACGACATTTTTCTCGAACCAAAAATTGATCGTTTGCTGAGTAGGCTTATTACTTTCATTTGGTAAGATAAAAAGTAGGGGTTACTACGCGTTTTTAAAAGTTAAATTGATTGGTTTCGACCTTAAGTTAATCGCTTTGGGGTTTATTTACAATTTTCCCCATCCCCTCCCCGGTCAATTGCACTATTGCTTCACTCAACGCGGAGTACTCTGGGATGTCCAGAACGGCTAACAGTCAGAGAAAACAACAACACACGGAGGAGAGCAAAAACAGAAAGTGAAGTAGGACATTTCATGGACTCTAAGGAAAACAAATTATACTATTTCATTCAACTGGAGCTTCTCTGTCTCAAACATTTAACAAAAATGTTTAGAGAAGAGCAATCTCCAAGGTATTAGAGATTACTTGCAGCGCACCTAGAGTAGTATGGCGAGCTCAAGATCCACGGCTGGTGCTGTAAACAAACTACTGTGCTGTAGTGGAAAATAGTCGACAGGGACTCTAAGACAGATACTCCTTCAATCGTTTGCTTAACCGTACCTGTCCTCAAGATTTTTTGAACTATAAATGTAATATGGATTGTAAACCTTCTATCGTTTTTTATCATTTCACCGGGTACCTCGATCGAATATGTTATTAAACTTGCATACATTCAAGGAGCTTATATCTGTCCTTTGCGCTATCTCTTTCGGGCTTTGCCACAAGTGTCAAATGACATAAATGATTTGCATAGACTCAAGTTCCACACATTAGCTCTCTTTTTAAAAAGCTGAATACTGCGAATGTAGTTGTACCGAATGCGTTTATGTACCCTCATAAATAAACTGGGCTATAATGATCATTTTATATATTTCGTTTTGATCTTTTTACTGTGGCATTCTGTGTCATGATCATTCACTATTTTTCGTTGCTAAATGTTAATTTTAGACTTAACAGTGTCTGTTAAACCTAAGAAAGTCTTAGAATGGAAATACTTTATTTTACCTTCCAACTTTACTTTGTAAACAGCCAAATGGGAGCTATGTCTAAATGTCCAGACTATATGTGACCCTCCACGGGAATTTGATGCTAAAGTTGAAAGCACGCTCACGACACGCTTGCACGACACGCTTAGCGTGCCGTAGATCACGGATATGCGCGTGTTAAATTGAAAAAACAAAGACGGACACACTTGCCTTTGTTTTGGTAAATTTAACACGCTAGACCTTTTGCTTTTTTGTAGCGTGCCATATGTCACGGTCAGTGTGCGAATTCTAGCACGCTTAGCGTGCAATTTGGGTAAGACACGCTGAACACGCTTGATTACTAAAACTGCTAAGATGATAAAAATGGCTTGGGTTTTCAGTGGATTTAATCAGCATTGATAACTGGTCGAAGTGAATCAAATATACCAATTGAGACTGTTTTGGAATTTGATCGTAACCGTAGCTATTTGAAAATCACCTCTTAATGGTCGTCTATCCTGGAATTAACGCGAGATCAGTGTAAACCAATTCCTCCGGCTGTCGGCTGTTGACCGGAATCGCAAAGAGGCCTGCTATCGCATGCGAGGCACTGAAGTTATGTCGCCTGAAAAATATAGTTATGCCACCGGAATATTTATTAGCAGTAATGCCCAGAGAAATGAAGTTGAATAAATTAGTTTAATATATTTCTTTAAGCCATGCTGAGACGAACGAAGGTAAATCGGAGAAACAAAAACTGCCTAGAATTTTCTACAGGTTGAGGATGGCTAAGCATTTCTAGATGACCGTTCCATACGTGTACAATTTTCGAAGCTTGTCTAATAAATTCCTTACGATTTTCTTAAATTTTTTTCCATTTCTCTCCCTACGTTAAGCTATTTTTCGAAGAGAAAGGAATCTCAAAATTTTCGGAACCGAAAATACGATAAAATTCTCACTTTCCTAAAACTTTCAATTGGAAGCTAATTTTTTCGGGAAAATAATCTGAAGCCCTTGTAATTTCGAAAAGACTGAAGTTGTCCTAGGATGCTAGGATGCATTTAGGAGGAAATCGCCGTTAGGTGCCCCTGACGAACGAAGCACCATCAATCATAATTTATGTGAAGATATCTCCGTTACTCTATGCTAAGACGGATCAAGCGCTGTAAACGTGTACTATATCTGGTTCTTCACAGGACGAAAAAAAAAATAATAATCTGTAAACTAAAAACACTGTAGAACAGTAGACTCCGTTGCGAAAAACACAGAGGCAAACGTGTTTCCGTTAGCGGGTACATCATCCTAAGCCCGTTTTTCCATGTTTCCGTCGCTGCGTTCATAACAGACAAAACAACAACGATAACGGCAGTAGTACTATAGAATATATTTCGTTTTTTTAAACTTTGATGAGACGAAACAAGCGCGATAAGTTTCAGGTAATAAAATGCTAGGACATGTTGGATGTTGAGCATGGTGAAATTTCAGGCCTCATGTTGTTTTAACTTAGTCCTCAAGGCACTACCAAGTTTCAGGAGGGTGACAAATCCACTCGGGCATCAAAGTAAAATAGGCATTTAAAAGACGCAGTAAACTAGCGCGACATAATAAAAAATTATTTTCGCGCCGCTTAAATAATAGTCTGCTACACAGCCGTTTTCGGTGGAAGGAGCGTTGCGTGACGACACTAAAACGGCTGTGTAGCAGACTACTTAAGACACTTAAATAATTGTAGGCCGTAATACTTCTGATGACGCTAAATCGGTCGCCGTAACTTCATAGCGCGAATGTTTGTTTAGATGGTTGTAAAACAGACGGCAGCCACAAGAAAGACAACAGGATGATTACGGAATTTGGACAATAAGACTGAAGCATACGCGATGTAATATTTCAAGAAGAATGTGTTTTAAATTAAGGAAAGTTAAAATAACCTTTGCACAGTTTCGTCAGTAAACATTTCTGGAAAGAACTTTGATTTTGCAATGCTTATAAAGTTCTACCCATAAATCCAGGAGGTCCCACCGTTCACTGTTTATACTTTACAAGCGACAACTTTTTTTCAATCAGATACTATCGCTGCGATTGCTTAGGTAGAACTTTTTCTTTCTCGATAGTTACCAAAAAAATGGTGCCGTTCATAATCATTTACGGTTCCTTTTTGTAGAGGAAATTTATTTAGCTTATACATAACACTCCTTGCGTGCTTTTGCGCACACTGAAAGCGTGTTGTGCTTTTTCGCACGGGGCTTTTGTTTGAAAAACTTTAACACGCTCTTCTGTTCGACTTGCTCACGCTTAATTGTTTCAAGCGTGTCCTCTGAAACAAAAGAAATTCCTAATGAGGCAAGATTGCAAGCGTGCTAAAGCGTGTTAAAATAAATCTTTTGTTTTAAAGTGAAAGCGTGTCGTGCGCGTGCTTTCACCTTTAGCATTAAAATCTACATATTATGTGGGGTGAAATTGAACCGTAAGAAATACTATCTACACGACAAGGTGCCAATGAGTCAATAATTTCAATGCTTAGTAATGCCAAAACAAGAATGGGCCCTGAGTCAATAGCGCATGAGGCCGAAGGCCAAATGAGCTATTGACTCAGAGGCCATGAGGGCGAGAGGAATAATTGTTTTAGTAAAATCCAACTAGTTGGTCAACAATACCGAGACAAAACAACTTTAGCTAGCAAAACGCGATTCAGCCGCCATTGTGTTGGTTTTCAAAGCCGGTACTTTTCGCTCTTAGTGGACTATAACATATAGCCTAGTAGTAGCTCAACCAATCAGAAAGCAGCATTGATAATAGACCACTAGTTGGATTTTACTAAAGCCGATTAGCCGATAAAAAGCGAAGGACGCTAGTGAAAGGTAAGCTTGCAGTTTCTCGATTAAGCAGAGGACTTAGAGCTATTTTCCCTCTGATTTACTGATCCTTGCCTATTACGGGATTTTTTAATACCCAAGCTCTAAGCGTAACATCTTGAAGCAATAACTTTTGATGTTTTAGAATTGACTTTTGTCTGACTATAAAATGTTCGGTCAGATCGATCATAAGTAGAAATAGCAACATGCGCATACTTCTTCGGTTTTCAAAGAACTGACAAGGTAAATAGAAATCATTTTTCATCTGTTGAAAAACGATGCAGCTTTTCCACAAGAAATAACTCGAACCTCCCAGACTTACAGGAGACAAAACCAGTCCGCGTGGCCTGCGTGTTGCGCATTTCTTTCGCGTCGCGCCCCACTACCTTGGCATGCGCAGAAAATGTGCGCAGTAACAATAGTGGGCACCGTCCTTAAAGTTATCTACTTCAACTTATGGAATTAGTTCTCTTTGTTTGACTTTGTTCAACTCAGTGATATATCCATTCTAATATATTCTGCCTATTAAATTGTTCCATATGGCATACATCATGGAGAACATACTGTGTTCCAAAACAATGGAACGGTGGTGTACCAAACTTGTTCCGTGGGACTAATCGAAAACTTCTGTTATGTAAACGTTTGCTTTTATTCTAATTAACGTGTTCCTATAACTTCTGGCCATTGGCAGTATACAATAACTAGGAAAACTTATATGCCACAAATTTCAAGAAACTGAAACGTTACTTCCTTCACACATCCCTTACCGGTTTCTGTGACGCAGCCCAACAGCTTGATCACGTGGGGATGAGGTTTTAGTTTTTTCATCACGTCAAGTTCTGACAGAAGGTCCTTTTTATCTGAAGCTGGAGCATTTGCTAAAAAGAAGAACCCAAAAAAAATTCTTAATTTTTTACCATTACTTTATTGCGGCAATCGTTAAAATTTGCTGCAGTGAGCTTTTGTCAGTGTTCTCTGTCCACTTGTTTTTTTGTTTTGTTTTGTTTGCATCGAAACCATCCAACTGAACGAGATGCCTTTTATAGTTTATTGACATACCTTTGGACACAACCTTACCCAAATCTCTATCTGTTAGTCATAGTACACTGAATTACACTACACCTTTAAGCATTTTTACTGCTACTGTCAAGGTATCCTGGCCTCCATGCATGTCGTTTACTGTCGCCTTGGCAACTTGTGAAAAAGCTCCTTTACCAATGACTTTAACTATGTTGACCTGTCTGCGACTGATCTCCCAGCTTCTCGTTGAGGGATGAAGTGGCATGTAATCTGCACTTGCTGTGGATGCATAGGTCGGGGCTTCAAACGTTCGCTCCACATCGAAGGATTGTGTGTCAGCCTCTACTTTAACAGCAATGGGATTCTATTGTCAAACATTGTGAGACAAGATTCAGCAGTAGAACAACAACGCTCAACTGTAAAGTGCCTTTTTTAAAGTGATCGACAATGATTGAATGAATCAAATGAATTAGTGCGCTGTGCAACTCCTTGTTTTAAATATCATAATGGCAAATATCGCAAAGAAATGTTCTGAGTTCAAGTTTCATAGGGAGCGTCCAATCAAGCTTTCCGTCATTCGCTAAAAAAGAGAAGAGAACCTCAGAAATATATTCTCTTTTTTTAGAGCTTGACAAGGCAAAATGACAGTGGTTTTTCTATTCCCACCTTCACTCCATCCACCGGACCCCACCCCCACTGATTCATTTTCATCGCGCCCAAAATTCCATAAGGTGTGCACAAATGCTCTTAGCAATAACGTATTAACTTGCCATCGCTAGAAGATCTCCGCATCTTGGACAACTTCTGTTGACAAGAAAGTAAACAGTACTGAAAAACTTTTAGTCTAAAATTTGTGCCAGCAAGACGCTATTAAGCTTTTCTCGACCTACCTGTAAGTCACATAACCTTTAATTGTCTATGATATTACCCTTGTTATAAACAATCTTTGTTGAGACTGGACTTTAACACCCCGATACTGGTGACGAAGGGAATGGTAAAGTTAAAACATTTATAATAGATGTAAGACTCAACTTTTATTTTGGATTCCTACCATTCCGGAAATATAAAGTACAACCCTACATACCACGATAAGGTAAAACATCGGTAAGTCACGTGGTTTGGTGCAAATTGTAGCGTTAGTGACTGTGGTATAGCTAAATTCTTCCTAAACAAGTTTTTTGCCGAAAAACGGCATACATCATCTCTCTATATTTTCGCCGGAGCGATGAATCCGAGAAAACTATAATGATAATAATAATAAGGAAAGTTACTTACTTTCTCTCCCGTGATTTTTCTGAAACAAAAATATGTTCAGACTTGTTCAGTTTGTAGACACTTTTGACAACTAGTTATTGATATATCTCTGGAGCTCAATACAATATACAAGATGTGAGTATCTTTAGTCCTCGCAGCAATTACCAAGCCTTTCAGGGATTTTTACTTACGCATTCACGTCTACTACATCCAGTTTGTCTTTTTCTTGTAATAACCTTAGTGATAACGTAACTTACGAAATTATGGCCGCATTCACCCTGCATCTGATACTCTATAGTTTGAACGAAAATCGGAAAGAGCCTCTAAAATCCAGTATTAAAGCGAAACGATGTTCTAAGAATTGAAAAAATCTTAACGCCTTGCGAAAGAAACTGGGCTTATACCAACTGCTGGATGGGTCATGAAGGGGTTGATATCAATTGGGACTTAAGTCCTGTATCATCTACTGTCAGCATGTTGAGTCACCGTGGCGAATTCAATAAGAAACAAGACAAATGCGTTTGATACAAAAACTTACTTACCTGAGCGGGTGCGCATTCGGCAGGTGACGAATATCAGAATAAGATTACTTATTAACAAAAGACAGATGATGGTGATATAAACAGCATGAAGAATTTCCTTTTGATTACCACACGAGGAACCTAAAACGAAATGTTTGCTGTTAGTTGTAAGCAATAGCGCAGCGACAGATACAGATGCACTATCCTAATGCTACAAGTAGAAAGAGAGGATACAGAAGATATAGGGCGCTTTGCATTAAAAAAAAATGCGGTTTGAAATTTTGGAAACTTCACGTGCTCAATGGAACGGTACATTTCGGTTGCACAGACCCGACCCCAGCCAATGCGCGTTTTGTTATTGTGGCTTCGCAGCACACTCATAATTACGCTCTAAAAGAGAAAAGTAAATACTGTTTATATTAAAGAACACTCGACTGTCGAAAAGTTGTGGTGGAAAACTAAAGGCGGAGGAATCCTATTTCGTGTAGAAAGCCTATGAATGCAAGTGAAGGTAAAAAATTCTTGTGAATTGAAGGGATACATTTCTCAGAATATTCGAACGATTCGAAGCAATTCCTGGAACTGTACGGTAAATAAATTCGGTGTTTTGGCCAACATATATTTGTATTCAGCCAGGCTTTGTTGTATTCATTTCAGCTTAATTGATAAATTGCTTTAGTTAAATATCGTCGACAGGTTTCAGACAAATAATACGCTGATTCTCACGGACATTTTACAATTGTAGCTTAATTACACACACTTTTTTTCACCTACGTGTCTTGTTGCGTCAGTTATTTGACACTGTTAATGGCAAATATCAAAAATCGAAAAAAAATTGCAACTGATTCAAACCAGGTTTCAAACTATTTGAGATGTCATGCTTTACTCACAGCACTTCGCTTTCCATTGAAAACCACTTGTTCTTGTATGCAGGATAGAAAAGAACTGTACTGGGGACAACAATTTTGGCAAATGGAAAGGGACATTTCGGTCCCACCGACCGAAATGACCAGACCGGTCATAGTGGACCACCTTCAAAGCTGGTCCCGAATATTCTGGTCGGACCAAACCGAAATGGTCCGTTCCATTTGATGAACCAACCGAAATTTCCGCACTTTTGGGTTGAATGAAAATGGCCTCTGAACCGTCTATATTTTGTTATATTGCATTTGTTACCCTTCAAGCGTTTCTGATTTCACTGAAGCAAAAGAGGTATGGCACTGATGTTGGTTAGAACAAGTGCAGTTTAACCTTGGTTCTCTTTCCGCCTTTATGAGTAACAGCAACTCACCTGTTTGGCCTCCTGTTGGTTTAGAGGAACCTGAGAAAAATATTTAAGAATACTATCATATGATTCTAACGTGTTACATAGGAATGATTTACAGTTAAACCTGTTCATTTGGTTATTTTTAACTGAGACTTCTTGTAACGGTAGTCAAAAATTAATTCTCAGAAGGCAAGATTCAGTGCCGCGAGGGTTGCTTTTTGAGCGCTAACAAATTATTTATAACTCCTTTTGACATTCTCCATCGGTCGGCCAGTCTTGCTATTATTTCCTAAGTTACTTATTTAACGATTCTTGTCGTATTTAATAATCCTATCTTAGTACTAACTGCCTGGCCTACAACGCATGAACGATTCACATTTCATGAATTGTTCAATGGATCAATAAAGGTGGCATTGTCGCAAAGTCGGAGTTACTGACTTCTAGCTTTTACGAACAGCGTTTTATCTACAATTAATTTTTCCCCGCATTGATTTAAATTGAATAGCACACAAAGGCCGTTTTCACACTAGAGACGGATGATCCGTCTGAGACGGTTAATCCATCTTCAAAACCCGTCTCAGACGGACCATCCGTCTCTAGTGTGAATACGGCCACTGGCTGCGATACGCGTACGAAGCTCAGTTGAAATCTGTGGATTTTTTGTCAGTGGCTTGCCACTGTAGGGAACTGGTTTTTATCAGCCGTTTTTACACTAGAGATGTTCCGTCTCTAGCACGAAAACGGCTATAACATCTGTAACGATTACCGTTCAACATTTAAAAGAAAGAATTATCTGAGGAAACATCACGTGGTCTGAAATGTGAAAACAAAACCTACAAGCTAAAAAGGTGTATAGTGAACATCACTGAACGATCTACTGTGTATAGTGATCTACTATGTATTTCCCTGAGATACACTCTTTCAGTTAAACTTGAGCTTAACCCACCTTCCGGTACGTCGATACGTTGCATCTTGCCTTCCTTTGAACTCTCTCCATACTTGTTGCTTGCTGTTACCAGTACTTTATACTTCTGGCCCATTTCGACTTTCACAACATATTTACGTACTGAGACATCAGTTATCTTTTCAGTCTCCTTCCATTGCTCATCACTTTGGGTTCCATAGTACACAGTATACATTGTGATTTCTGCTCCGTTGGTGTTTGGTTCCTCCCACTTCAAGGTTATTTCATCAGCTTTTAATTCGTATGTGAAGGCCACTGGTGATGGGGCACCTTACGCACAAAGAAATGCCACAGAGCTGTTAATTTTCCTTTCAAAGTTTTTACTCGTCCTTCCTTAAATAACTGGAGTACGACTTTTGCGCATAGCTGATGTTAAAAAATGAAAAAGGGTACAATGAAGACTTTGATAATGCATTGCCAGTTGTGAAAAACATATCTACCCGTATTTGGCTCTCGATCTCCCTACTTCTCTGGCTACGCTATCATGATAAACGCTTAATACTGTCTCAATGTATTGTTTAGTCCTTCACTTCGATCAAAGATTAGTGTGCTTTCATACTCTTTTGGTAAATAAGTCGTCTCGAAAGCACTAAACAGATTCACTTAGAACACGACACAAAAAAATCCATAAATTTAAGTCTTTTAGACTAATGATCGACAAACATGTAAGTACCGGTATGTAGCAAAGCCGGTTTTCTTTTTTTTGTCGTTGTTGTTATTGTTGTTGTTGTTTTTTTTTCTGGAACAAGCGACGCCTCATCAATGGATGGAGGCAGCGGAAGTAGCTAGAAAAGGGTAGGCTAAAGGCAAAGTCGTGTATTATTCAGTAAATAAACCTCTCCCGGTGGCTAGTGTATTGGAGGACAATGCCTACGGCTGAGAGATAAACATTTGCTTCTCGGGCAAATGTAAAATTTTGAGGACAATCTCTTAGCCAAGGGCATTATCATCCGATATACCATAATGGGACTACTGCACTGATTCTTTTCTTTATGTCGCCTTTAAAAACCAATCTGATCTTCTTCAAAAAGTACTGAATGCTGCTGCGTTCAAACGAACATAACCTTCTTGCTGTTCCTAGAGCTAACCACAAGGCATTTGGTGATCGCGCCTTCGCACACTCAGGACCTTCTTCTTTGGAACAACCTCCCTCGTGAAATACCACAAAGTGCAACTCTGACTGTTTTCAAATCAAAGTTAACGACTTACTTTTTTAGACTAGCATACAATCTTTCTTGATATTATATGTTTCTAAATTGTTTTATTTTTAACACAGAAATTTATCTAATTTTTTTAAATTTTTATCATTATAATTCAAATTTTACTATATTGCGAATGACGCAAACAAACACATTGATTGGTTGATTTTTTTGGTTGAAACTGAGATTGGACCAGGGCTTGACTGGCTGTCATGTCAAATGCACTCTTGAAACGCCCCAAAGATCAAAACTCGAAAAACAGCGTTTGGATAAGTAAAGAGAATCCAACCATATGACTAACTGCGGTTGCAAGGGCTAGAAAAGTTATTAAAAGTATGAAACACAGAAACTGAAAAACCTGGAGCAGTTGAATGATTTACATTAGTGAACTGCTGTCAAAACCTGGATTTGTACGTTGCTGTGGATGGTGGAAGCTGAGGAAGTCATAGAAAGAAAAGGAAGAAGAACTAATTATGAGGCCCAGCTGTAAGAACAGGTTGAACTGACCGGAATTTTCCATAGTTATAAATCACCTGATAATCGGAGATGACTCAAACTGATGCTCTAGTTGGTTGCGCACTGTACGACTCGATCAATTAATCGTTTTCATGTCCTGCTACGCTTTTTTCTCTCTTCTCTCCATGCTGAATGTAACAAAAAAGGCTTATCTTCGTAAACACTTGAAGTATTCTTTTCCATAGCTGACAGCTATGACTGCGTAAAAACACAGTATTCAGGTTTCTGTTCAAATGCATAAATATAAAGCTCAATTCGAAAATTTTGCTCATCTTCGATTCATAGCTTATTTTATTGATTTCTCTGTATTTTAGTGAAACTGGATTAAACAAAATAAGTTTGTTTTTACTACTTTCATCCTAAATTATTAAAGAGAATAAAAACTGGAATGAGACTGCACTTTGTTCACTTTGTCATATTCTTGCCACTGAAAAATCGTAAAGCAAATATCTTCCCGGATAGGGTGTATTGCCTAACACCCGTCCGATTCCGTACCACGTGACCCAAAATAGCCGATAACATCGCACGACAATTCATCAGTGGATTACAACTATTACACGCTTTCTCCTTTGTTTTGGGTGTACACAGGGTCATACTGGGCGAAGGTGAAGTAAAGACACTTCTCAACAAACAGATGCTACGTATTATACAAGCATTGGATGGAGTCCAATGCCACACATTATGTCCACCTTTATAGTAGAAATTGTAAAAAAGGATAAATATTCAATTCACCTACCTCCCAACACCTTTATTTTCCTGATTTTTTTTTCTTCTTTCCCTCCTTCTCCAAAACTGTTTGTAGCAGAAACTACAAATTCATATTCTTTGCCTTTTTCCAAGTTAACAACAACTTTACGATCTGACGTATACGAAATTTCCTTTATTTTGATCCAAGTCAGTGATGTGCCATCCTCACGGACAGTTCTTCGGTACACAGTGTACTGGGTTATAGGAGCTCCATTGTTTTCAGCCTCTATCCATTTTAAGGTGATTCTAACATCCTTTGTTTTAGCCGGTAAATCTGTGATCTCCGCTGCTGCAGGGACTCCTGGGTTAAAAGATGAATGGTACAAAGTTAAAAAAAAAACTTATTTACTTTCAGTTGTATTGATAGCCTAGCAACGTTAGGCTGCAGTTACTTCGAGTCTGCGAACGGTTGTCCTCCTTAAAAGGTCATCTCGTTTTCAATGAAGACATGCTTTGTGATAAATTATAACCAAGACTATGTAATCCGAAATTAAACAAACCCAAATTTGTATACCCGCCTGGGTTATTTAGATGAAATGAACGTGGCGAATAAAGGCGTGGCTTTATAAAAAAAAAAACAAAAAAAAAAACGTCTTTTTGTGAGCCAAAAAAAATTCGACTATTAAACTAACCTATTATTTGCGAACAATTTCAAGTAATACAGATCAATACAGGGCGAAGGATAAGAATAAGGTGAGTTTCATGTTGATACAACAAGAAGTCTGGTCACAAGACAAGCTTCATAAGCTCACCTTAGGCCTAGTTCCCACGTAACCGGGTATTTTTGATAAGGGACGGGTCTCTTTTCTCCGGTTAGCTTTCCGCTCACACGTAAACAGTATTTCCGGGGATTAAAAACGGGTTTCAGAGTGGAGTTTTTCAAGACGCCAGCTTATCGTTTTCGTGTGAACGGGCGAAACGTAGGTTTTTTTGAAAACGATGATGCCATACATCGTATTTCCATTGTTTTGGTGATTTCGTGTGGACAGGCGGAAACGATTCGAATACGCCAAAGAATTCTACGTAAATTAAGTGAGGTAAAAAAAAAACAACACTGCTATGTCAGACGTGGAAAAGCACTGGAATTTTTAAGTATATCTTTAAGAGACACTGTCCCGATTATGTACACGCGCGAAAGACTTTTTTTTCCTTAAAAAGACTTGTCACGATTTTGTCGCTCGCTCGTCCGCCTGGCGACCTTGAAAGCCTCTTCCACTCGCCTTACTGCTTTTGTGAAGGTAAACTCTTCTCAGAGGTCAACTTGTGGCACCTCACCTATCCTCCGTTGTGACTATTGGCACATAAGGCCTTCGCAGAGTCTTTCCACTTTTCTCGGTTAGCTGCTATGGTCCTGGCCTCACTTCGTCCCATGATTCCTATCCTGCTTTCTTTCTTTATTTTTCAAGCGTGGGCCTCCAGTTGGTCTTCGGTCTTCCTCTTCTTTTGTTTGCTTCGGGTGCCCAAGTCATTGCTGTGTTACAGTCGTTGTTTTGGTCCTGTATTAGTATATGTCCGATCATGTCTCATTTGCTCATTTACGCTGTTTCACCTTTTTACTCAGAGGTTTCATCTCCGCTATTTCTAGTGGCTCTTCAGTACTGACATGCCCTTGTCACTGGATTTGTAGGACTCTTCGTAGACATTTGTCATGAAACACATCTACTGCTCTGTCGTCCCCTTGTTCATTTTCTACGTTTCACACCCGTACAGGACTGGCACTAGCAGTGTTTATACAGCCTCAGGTCTGTTCTTCTCAGTGTTTTAAGAGCGCCACCGTTTCTGGGTGGAGCCCCATAGCTAAGGAAATGTGGTAATCTACCCATCCGAGAAAATTTGGTAATCACGTGACCGTACACCGACCGCCCGACCGTCCGTCCGTTAGGCATGAATAGATTGTGCTAGTGAATGCAGCAAAAGTTGCTTGACAATACACCCAAAAGTTGCTCTAAAGTTGCTAAAAAATTTAAAAGTTGCCACCCAAATTTAGAAAAGTTTCTTACTTTTACATCATTTGTTGTGATCAATATAATCTTTAAGCTCAACGTAACTAATAATAGAAAGTATTTTCTAATAACGTTTCTAATGAGTAAACATCACAATGTTTGCTATAGACATCATAGTGCTTACTATACACTTTAGACAGTGATCAAGTTTACAGCCTTTATCTTACCTTATCATGATTAGATACAACAATGCAAAGAGGTTGTAAACTTTGAAGTTTACAGCCTCTTTGCATTGTTATATTTTATCATAACTGAAGCCTCAAGGTAGTCCTCTAGGGCATTGTCTTGTTGATCTTTAAACTTCTAGAAATTGAAGTCTTACAAGACTACTTAGAGTTGCCCCAGCGGTTATGGTAGCCTCAACAGGGTCAACATCTGTATTATTTTCATTTTCCTCGTCAGACTTTTCAGCTTCTAATTATGATGCCTCGCACTGCAGCAAATGCCAAGATGGCGGGTGGGAAGCTCTATTGTTGGAGCGAATAACCGCTGGATGTAAGCACCCGTTAGATAGATAGCTGCTGTCCAGTTCGTGGGCGCACCTGTTATTTTATAAATTATTTGTAAGAACGTACGACATCCTTAGTTTTGACCAGTTTTTAATAAAAACCTTTTAATAAAGACCTTTTTGATGGTTTGGTCAGTTTTAAACTATTTGCTGAGTCAAAAGGTGGCAAGGAAGGCAAAAGTTGGTCTAGGTTGCTCGCAGTACAAAAAGTTGCTGAAAACGCTAAAAGTTGCTCAAAAGTTGACGACCACAATTTATTTATGCCTACCATACCACAGGCATACCAATGTAAAATAACTCAATCAACAGGGATGGCAACCCAAATGCAACTCAAAGTTTTATTTGAAGGGAAATCACATGGCCGAACTTTTAGAAAGAAAAAACAACAATAAAGTCGCGTCTTTTTCGGCGGTATTTTTTATGTTTACACTAACGTGGATAACCGAGAAAGAGCTAGAACGAGTTATTGAAAACAAAGGAGACGAATTTCGTTGGAAAAAAAACATGGAAATTCAAAGCGGCGGTGACAAAATGAGAAATGCTAGCGGCCAGCAAGTCGAAAATGAGCGGCAGTGAAAAATAAAAGCGAACAGATTGCATGAACACAGGAAACAAAATATTGGGTAAGCATATACGACAATTCCTCCATACAAATAATGTGTAACTAGGAAGTTTGACGTTTTAGTCGTACAAAACAGCGTTGTAGTCGTGCAAAACAACGGCAAGGGAAAGACAAAAAAGCGTGCTGCACGTGCAAATTTGTTTTTTNAGTTGACGACCACAATTTATTTATGCCTACCATACCACAGGCATACCAATGTAAAATAACTCAATCAACAGGGATGGCAACCCAAATGCAACTCAAAGTTTTATTTGAAGGGAAATCACATGGCCGAACTTTTAGAAAGAAAAAACAACAATAAAGTCGCGTCTTTTTCGGCGGTATTTTTTATGTTTACACTAACGTGGATAACCGAGAAAGAGCTAGAACGAGTTATTGAAAACAAAGGAGACGAATTTCGTTGGAAAAAAAACATGGAAATTCAAAGCGGCGGTGACAAAATGAGAAATGCTAGCGGCCAGCAAGTCGAAAATGAGCGGCAGTGAAAAATAAAAGCGAACAGATTGCATGAACACAGGAAACAAAATATTGGGTAAGCATATACGACAATTCCTCCATACAAATAATGTGTAACTAGGAAGTTTGACGTTTTAGTCGTACAAAACAGCGTTGTAGTCGTGCAAAACAACGGCAAGGGAAAGACAAAAAAGCGTGCTGCACGTGCAAATTTGTTTTTTTGCTAATTAGAAGAAAAGTGTGCTGCACGTGCAATTTGTTTTTTTGCTAATTAGATCTATTAGTCTTGAAGCCATTTTCATTGTCGTGCCAGTTTAGCATTACACGATTTAAATTTTTTGTTTACACGTATTATTAATCAGAGCTTCGCTTTTAGCCCTGGCTAAATCTATATATTAATTTCGTTCAAATGTATATTTTATCCTAGTCTTATCTTAGTATTGTAACCATGGTAAAAGCGATTACATAAACAAACAATTTCCATCTTCACAAGCATGGTGGAGTAGAGAGAAGTCTATCTATGAAGGCAAAAGAGAATGGAAGTACGTTTTCGTTGCGTATGTAGAGGACCTAAATGTAGTAAACGACCCTAAATGTAATAGCATCTTAATAACAAACTTAAGTGGAATAACATTCGGCCTTCAATGCACTGACGTCATGCTAACGTCATTAATGACGTAACATGTCATTAACCAACTAACTGATTATGACAACGGCCTCGTGATCATTCGCTCAATCTGTCACGAAAACCAGTCACGTCAACGTCCACCACATGACCAACTGATTACAACACCCACGTGACTCTGACTTCTTAAGCCATGGTCAATACACTTTTTTCCATTATTTAAGGCTTTCTTTGCCGTGCAAGGGCTACACCGTAGCGAGAACACTTGTAGTAATCTCTGCGGCAAAGCTTTTTTGGACTACCCTAAAAGTGACATTACTCAGATTTAGACATGAAAACGCAACAGCAGTGACGACGACGCGTGCAGGTCTGAAAATGAGGATAACCAATGGCAGAGCGAAAAATTAAGCACGAACTTTTTAATTGTGCATAGTTTGTACCCTGGAGGGTAACATTGCCGAAACGTCGGTTTAAACTCTTGTAACAGCGTCGATTCTACAATTTAATTTAAGTAACTACGCTGCGCAGGGATTTGAATCTTTATTTCAAAAGAAATTAAGCACCTAAAGTTGCCTCAGTCCCTTCCGTTCTAGCCTGGGACCATGCTTCGTGGTGGGTGGCTATTCCGCTCTCATTTACAGCCGCCCTGTCATTTCTTACTCTGTCTATTACAGCAAGTAGCCCAAATGTGTGACCTCCTTTGGTTAACTCACATTCTTCCATGGAGACATTAAGCAATCAGACGTCGAGGACAGTTTCCAGACAGTTTTTTGGATTCATTTGGAAAAAATTATTTTAGCTATGCGTGTATTTTGTAAACGATTTAAAATTGGATTGCATTAAAATTGTGCAAGGAAAAAATAATGAGAAAAAAATGAAAGGAAATAAAAATGAATAAATACTCCTGTGGCTCTGTAAAACAAAGATAGAGTTTTGTCTTTTTGTTACTATCAAAACAATTCATGCCTTTAATAGATCCTTTTAGGTAAATGTCGTTCCCCTGGAATGGCCATTTACAAGTCAAAGAGCCGATGTCGTATAAACGTAAATAAAATAAACTCTTTGAGACACGTGACATGAATCGTGTTACTTACGTCACTGATGACGTTAGCATGATATCAAGACATTTAAGGCCGAATGTTATCACACTTAAGAGTTTAATACATTTAAGAAAAAATGGTATTACATTTAGGACTTTATTTAATTATTTAGGGTCGTTTATTTCATTTAGGCCTTCAACAGAACAAACCAAACGATGTGGTAAACGGGTTGTCCGGGAGCCCTGAGAGTGACCGGGGGTATAATGTTTATATACGTTACTGCAATGTTTCTGCATTAATCTCAACCAGCTACGTCGTGGTTTTGTTTGTTAATTTTCTTTGTTCCGTAATGAATGCTTTTTAATGAGAAATCACATGTGTACGTGTTCGAATTTTATATTTTTTTTTTTCAACAAATACTTCTGAGCGGCACACAGCTACGTAATTTTTTTTCCGGCTTTCTTTTCGCAACTGCAAAAGTTGCGTCTATAACTACTGTGATCTATTTTCATATAACTCTTCACCCCACAGTTCACATACATGATTTTCATCTATTCATAACTTCACATAGCTACGTATCTTGCTAACCGTGATATGGTGTTATTTTTCTTACAGGTTCTTGTCTCATTCCAGATTTAAAGGAAGCGAAGCGCGCGCGTGGGCGGAGCCCCATAGCTAAGGAAATCTACCTGCCTCGTACCCAGACGTCTCTCTTTTGATGAAAATTTGCGCGCAAAGGAAGGCCGGAAGGAGACAACGGGCGAGACGTCTGGCAGATCTTGTTTTCAAGATGGCGGCAAGAGCAATGGCGGACGAATATGCAGTTTTTAAAATAAGTTCAGCCCTGTTCATTTTGGGAATTTTGAGCAAATCATTGCCTATCCACGTCGTGTGTATGAAGAGGAAGCTGTTTTCACCCCACACATTGGACTCAAGCATCATAATGTTTACTACCGAACTACATAATGTTTTAATACTACCGAACTTAAATCGAAAAACTACTAGCCGCGGACGGGACGGTACTGCCTTTAATTTAATGAAACTGCCGCACGCCAAGGTAACAGCCGGTCAGGAAAATTAGTAAGTTAGTAAGTTAGTAGTCGTTTCTGTTAAGGTCCCGAGTGACGAAACGATCTCTTCTGTCGAAGTGAAAAATGGCGAGCTGAGAATTGTTGCAACAGCAAATGAAGCCAAATATTTTGCAAAGCTTTAAAATACTATTCGCTACACGCTGTATCTTGAGTACTCGAAAAGGCAACAAACCAGTCTAGTCCCAAGACCTCAAAGTTATGTTATTAAATAGATGACAAAATATTTTTTAAATCTGTTAAATTTTTGTCTCAGGATTTCGCATTGTGTATCATTTGCTCGACAATGAAAGCTTATGTACAGGAAAAACAGCCTCAAAACTAGGTCTAGGTTTTTTTTACTTGTAGTTTTTTACTGTTCGATTTCCTCACTGGGTACTAGACTTGTCACTGAATGCATAGCCCGGTGTAAATAAATTCTACTTACTTTTTATTTATATACCTAATTTTATGATGAAGCTGTGTCGAATGTGCAGCAAATACTTATTGTCTGTATTGTTTATTATTTGTTTTTGTGATATTACACAGAAGACCAATATTGGGTTTTGCCATGCTCTTTTATAACACATCATTTGTGTCTTAACAAATAAATTATTAGTGACTTTGGTTTTAATTTGATAGACAATTTTGTTACCCTGATTGAAGAGGGTGATGTAGTCGATGAGATACCATCGTAACTACCATTTGGCCAGACAGGAGACGTTGTCCTAGACACTTTTTTTAAAAAAGTAATTGTGTTTGAATATTTCAAATTTCATGGCAAACAAGATGCTGTGAATGCCATTTTAGAGAATGATGATTGCATTGTACCACTGCCAACTGGTGGTAGGAAAGACTGAGTATTATGAAGTTCTTGGGATCATTCTACCCAGATTCAACATTGTTGTTCCTGTGATTGCTTATACATGGTTCCTTTCTTGGAAAACCTGTGGTAGCATAAAATTCCCCTCAAAAGTCTTCTGAAGGGGTAGTTTTTGACCTGCTTTGGAGTTGCAGAGGAATACAAGATCAGCTAATAATTATCAATGGACACAGAATTACCTTGAAATGCAAAAAATGTTAAGATAAGTATAGATGGTTCTGCATAACTACTAACCCCCAACCCCCTTTGTAGAAATTTTAACTGCAAAATTATAATCAAGATTCAAGCATTGAATGGAAAGAACAGTAAAAACAGGCCCCTGGACAAACTGGAAGAATATGCAATAAAAAACACTACACTACACTATTAGTAGGCTAATGTCAGGTCTATTAACAGTGTCAAGCAATGAAAAATGCCAACTGTTTTATGTACGGACCAGAAGCTCAGCCATGCAAAACCCTCGCCACTTTCCATTGCCTTCACCTCACCCAGAAAAATACAAAATATTGCTCCTAGTCCTTAAAGTAGTGTCACTGGACATTGAATTGATGTGTGTTTTATGAACTTCTGCCAAGATTATTGAACTCAGATGTGGTCAGGTCATTGAACTATGGTCAGCAAAAGAGAAAACCTGCACCTGCACCCTTAATCCAACTTAAACTCGATCTAGCTGTCTTGCCCAAAGTAATAAAATACTTTGCTCCTATAATTCCTTGATTTTGGACAATGGAAATTGGGTTGATGTGTTTTTTGAACTAATACTGTGATAAAAGCATGTGTACAATTGCCCCTTCCCCTCAGAAAAAATTGTTGTACATGGGCTACTGAGATTATTGAATGGGAATGTTGTCATTGAACTGACTTCTGTTAAAAAAGGGTTAAGCCTGCTCCCTTTTTTTACATTTGTGGGTCCCAATAAAGTTACATTGAGACTACAGACCTGGAGTTTGAATGAGATGTAGTAGTGTGGTCATTGAATCATAGTGTTTTAACTGAACTATATACTTTATTTAACCTTTATTCAAACATTTTTAGTCTTGCAATAGGGGTGCCATCATGCCAGACATCTAGCTAAATAAAATTAGTAGTGTAACAATTAATCAAATTCTCGATTAATCGTGATTATGACCGTTCAGTTCAATTCAGGATTCTTTGCTTCCGCATTTCAATTTTGGTTCAATTTTTGCACACCTTTTCCAGGTTGCCCTCAGTGAGTTATTATAGTCTAAAATAAGAATCCAGAACTCTTTAATGAGTGTTTTTGATTGACAAGCAAAGACGATAGCAGTTCGTGCGCCATTTTGAGTTGCCTGGCAAAAATGCTGTCCTTCAACCTCCGCTTGAGAATTTCCAAATAAGGCAATTAACCATGTGCAACACACTCTTTGTCAGGTTTCCTAACATGGCGACGAACCAAGCGACTGTAAATCCTCCTGTCTCTGTTACTATTGTTAAATTGAGGGTTTAGGATTGCATGCTGTTTACATTGCGCGTTATGTTTTAAGAATTAAGAAACACTTACCTAATCGAATCAAAATCGAATCAAATCGCAAGGAATATGAATATTTACACCCATAAATGAAATGAAATAAAGTTAAAACTAATGATAGCAATAACAAAATCTCTTACAAAAGATAAAATCAATAAATATATTTTAGCATTAATTATTGTACAATATATAGAGGATATTACATGGCTGCACGGAGATACAAAATTTTTTTTCGAGTGTTGAAACATATTTCATGAGTGGGCGCAGCGAACGAGTCAAATATTTTTTCAACACTAGAAGAGAAATTTCGTGTCTCCAAGCGGCCATGTAATGTTCTATTTATTATATAAACACCAATGAAATACCAAACCATTTCACTTTAATAGTTTTTTGGTGTGAAAGGCGCGATTTATTATGTAAGATAACATGTTATTTTCAAGTGTGAAGATATCATATTTCACGCGAAAGCTCACCTGGTACTTCATTGGTGTTTATATAAGAATTAAAAATACTAAAAAAATTAAGCTAGAAAAGACTGCCTTTATAGCTGGAGATTTTAGTTTCCCTCATCAAGATTGACAGAGGTAGTCCAAAATAATTGATTGATCAATGCTGGCACCTTTCTTCTCTTCAATCCCTTCTCTGATCCGAAAATAAAGTTCATTACTTATCTCTCGAGAATCTAGGGATCTTATACTGAGAGTTAGGTAATTGTAAGCTTCAACAATTCAAGTTATGCATCTTTATTTATTTTGTCAAAAGCATCAACTGAAATATATCCATCTGTCCCTGGTTTCATAGTTAGTAACGTCGCAGACTTAAATCTTGGTGGAAGGACATAATGTGGTCTTGATAATCAACTCCTGACCTTGCACAATCTAGCTAGGCCTTGCACTTCTTTTAATTCACAAGGTCACTTGCTCGTTGTTCGGTGGATTTGGCCTAAAGGAGCGAAAAATAGAAACATAGTCGCCGGCGCTGTACTTTACTAATCCGGATTCTGCAATAAAACGACAAATTAAATACTAAACTATAAGACTTACCCGATACCGTCAAGTAATCAAATACTTTGTTAGAGGTCTTCGATTCGTAAGAATCCGGCAGAATGCGACCCCTTTGCAGCCTGTTTCTACCTCAGGTTTTGGAAATTTTGAGCAATTCACCTGTCTACTCAAAGTTTACAATGTTTACAACAATATGCTACTAAAATTGATTGCTTCCAAGACTTAAAAAGACCAAAAATTGGGCCGTGCCAAGAAAACGACTTTTTTGCCAAGAAAACGACACAAGATCTGGCAGGCGCTTCGCCGTCTGTACCCTTCCCATGGTCCCTTGCGGTTCACCAGTCACTCGTTTCGCGCTCGCCTCTGCCATGCGAAAAACGAAGCGCCTGAGGAGGAGGCTGGAAATCTACCCATCCCAGAAAATTTGGTAGTCACTTGACCGACCGACCGACCGACCAACCGACCGTCCGTCCGCACCACAGGCATACCAATGTTTACTCTCACACTTTCTAGCTACTTTGGGAACCCAGGAGAAAGCTGATTGCACATCAATGTTGTCATCAATTGACAGCTGTCAAAACAGGGTATCCGCTGACCACTATCACCTGACCACATCGCGGGCTCAGGTGTTCACCCATCAAGGTCGAGTAGTTTTTGAAGTTATCCGTTGACAATTTACTCGTTTTCAAATGATCGCAGGCTCACGTTTACTTTTGTTTGAAATTCATAACAAATATGTCGTGTTTATGTCAGTATCGCCCCGCACTATTACGATTTTGATTTCAAACTGACCCCAGACGCAAAAATTCAGCCAGTTTTGTTAAAATACAGGTGGGGAAGACCTTTTCTTACCATGGTCACGTGTTGGTCACGCTCCACGTCCAAATTTTATGCTCTGATTAGTTAAAATTTGACAGGTGAGTTCATGCGTAAAATTTATGCAGTATCTTGAAAGTTGTTTACTTTGACAGCTGAAGCTGACAGTTTTGAGTCAACTTGTGATGTTTGTGACTGTCTTTTTCCACTGGATGTACAAAATGAAATACAGCTGCTATCAAGAGTGTTCTCTTTTTCATGGCTGGTTTGTTTACTGGGTTTTTTGGTTGAAAAATGCGTTGCTTTTCAAAGCCGATAATCCGATTTCGGATGGCATCGTTTTTGTTTTTCACCTTGCTGGATGCGTACGAGAATTATAAAGGCTCAAGCGATCCTTGCCTTACTTGATAGCTTTCGGGAGCTGCATCTCGAAATATGGTAAGCCTGAGTAATTATTGTATTTAAATCTAATTTCATGAAGTCCAGCGGCGCAGTTTATGAAGGTACAATCAAGGAACAAAAGTAGTTGACACACTTGTTTACAACGGGTGCTTTTAACAAACATTTAATTCATTTATTATTTCATTCCTTTTAAACGCCGTAAATCCCCCGACCCCTCGAATCAATGTTGTCTGAAGTAAAAAAAAAGACTTGAGGGTCCAAAATTCAACATTGATTTTGGGGGGAAGGGGTTGGGGTAGACAGGGGAAGGGGAAAAGTATCCACTATGCAAAAAGGGGCCATTTTACGGAAGTGTGTCAACACTCTTGTCCCTCATTGTCTGAATGCAAAATTGTGCTACTGCACACAAGTTGAGCCGTGTATGACACTGATTTTCACTGAAATTAAAGGAATCAATGACATAATTATGTTATTGGTGGTGGGGGTGACATAGACTTATTCACGACCGAATTATAGGGCCAATTCGAATTACGCGATGACGTAATAAAAGGGCTGCGATATTCAGAATTAACGTCGAAATGGTTTACAAGCTAAAAACTGACGCTGAAACTCGCGCAAATGTAAAACTTTTGGTGAATTTCAAGGGGGTGCGTACTGAAAATATTTTTAATAAAGTGAATAATTCTCGTTCTTCACTTAATCCGATTGTTAAGGCCCAAACAATTACGCAAAGGGTAAGGATTGACACGTAGTGGGGATAGTTACTGGCCGGCCAAGGAAATATGGAGGGTAAGTGAGGAGCGGCCGTCACTGCGTTCAATATCGAAACTACGGAAAAGTGAAGGTAAATTCATGGCGAATTCAATAAAAAACTAAGGACAGCGTAGCAACCATTGCAAGTGTACACGAAAACAATTACTTTCAATCCCACCTCGTGACACCCTGTGTGACATGATAACGCAAAGCGAATAGCGTGACATAAGTGCATATGTCTGTGTATTTCGACTGCATTTCTCAAGCGAAACCCTGTGTTTTTGTCTATTGTCGGCAGAGAAAATGAAAAGAGAGCTTTAAAACGTGAACTGGTATTTGACTCTCAAAGAAAACGACAGCTCAAATTGAGGAAAACACTGCTTCCTTCGTGTTACAACGGTTAACCACGTTTCGGCAAACGGAAAGTAACATTAGTCTGTTATAACCTCTTAATGTCGATATGTATTCTCGTGGTTAACCGTTGAAACTCCTTATTTGCACCACATCGCTGGAATTTTTCTCGCTAAGAATACGTATTGCGAAGCACTTTCTACATAGCGAAATCTTCTTTTGCCTTTTGTGAGGAATTAGCGCAAAAAAAGGAAAATTTTCCAGCGCACGGCTGTCATCGATCACGTGTTATCCCGCTTTGCTTGTCATCAAGTGAACTTCTGGGCCAAAGTAATTGCTGTTTTGGCGATGATACAAACTGGTGTGTCTATCTTGAAAACAATTTCTTTGGCATTCTGTGATTTACGAGCTGGGAAATGAAATATTTGTCCGTACAAGATCAATAAACAATCATGCCACTGAATAAATGGCAGGCGGTCATGTAAAATCAACACAAAAGTACATTCCTAACCTGGTCTAACCTGTTCGACGCCTTCCTACGCTAAAAGTTTGGATCAGTTAGGTTAGAAAAGGTCTCAAAAAAATAAAAAAAACACATCTATATATAGGGCATAGCACAAACGGCTGGCCCATCATTTATGAGGTTCATAACCTGTATATTGTTCACGTCCTTTCACTAAAGGAAAAGGTCAATGTCAAAAATAATGCTTGTCCCCTCTGTTACTCTGCAGTACTTCATTCGCTTAAGTTAACCATTTACCAGAACAATTTTCATTGTACCTTAGTGTTTCCATCCTTTTTCCACTATTGATAATACTTGTGAAAACATTACATCCGCAGCAACGGCGTTGATCACAACACAAATCATTTCGTCTCGACCCGACAGGGTATCAGGAACGCGCGCGGGAGTACAAGATTAAGTAATGACATACGCTTCGTACATTTTACTCTACGTATACTACAAATCAGGACGAAACTTTATAAATTGATGTTTAAAAACAAACAATTTGACGTCATCGTACAAAAATTCAGCGGCGTCAAAAATCTAGCCGGAAAACACAGATACATATTTCAGACAATCAGGGACAAAAGTAGTTGACACACTTGTTTACAACGGGTGCTTTTAACAAACATTTAATTCATTTATTATTTCATTCCTTTTAAACGCCGTAAATCCCCCGACCCCTCGAATCAATGTTGTCTGAAGTAAAAAAAAAGACTTGAGGGTCCAAAATTCAACATTGATTTTGGGGGGAAGGGGTTGGGGTAGACAGGGGAAGGGGATAAGTATATCCACTATGCAAAAAGGGGCCATATTACGGTAGTGTGTCAACACTTTTGTCCCTCATTGTAGTTTATGCACGTTTGTATTATGATTTGACTGAGACACTGATCTGACCTCGTATGAGGTTTGATATAAGCTTAAGCTTACAGAACTTTAAAAAGCCTTTGGCCGATATTAATTCACCGTAAATAGAAAGAAAAAACTTTCCGAAGAGTATTTAGTTATAATTTTGGCTGTAGAAAGAAAGCTTTGAAAGATTTTCTTGTCGTGAGTTTATCTTTGAAAACAGCCTACACCGGGAAACCGGCGGCTTAAAACATAAACTTTAAGCTTACTAGTAAAGACTTGAGGATTCTAAGACACACTTAAATACTCATTTGTTTTCGTGAATGAAAATTGTTGTCGCTGTAAATGTTCTATCGAATTATTTTTCTTTATTGAGTTTTGGTAGTCTCAAAAGTGTAATTTTTATCGCTTTGCCGTTTGTTTTCAGCCGTTCATAAACATCGCTTGCAGGAGTACTCAAAATGCCGAGCGTATCAAACGCTTTTTAAGATTACACATCGTTATGAAACCGTTAATAAAAAATAGACTCAATAAATTCCTTATCACGTTGAAGCGTAACTCTTTTAAAATTTCTTCGCAAATTTGGCGCTTGTCAAAAGGTAGAACCGGCCGGCCGTATAGATGATTTTGGAAATTTTTTGAACGGTTTCGCTAATTAAAAGTCCACGCGTGCTTCGATGGTCCTTAACATTGTGAAATACTGCATTTTGTACGAGGTCTGTATGATAAAAACAGCGCCTCGTAGTACTCTTTCTCCTCAGATGTAGTGTATGAAAAAAACAAAAGGTTTACACGCACCCAGATTTATTGGCAAGAATTTGTAAACTTGTCGAACGCAAAAAATTCGGTATGATTTGTTTTCCAAGAATTCGTTTTCCACGCCTTATGTACTGTACGTGATCAAGAGCCATCATTGCTCTTCAATGTGGCCGAAGACTATTTTTTCTGGTATACATATAAGGCTATATCAACTCGATACAAAATTAGCTTCACTCCAAAATCACTTAGCTTTTCCCTCAAAAGTCACATGAATGTGCCCTTAAGTTAACTGATTTGTGGAATACAAAATTATTGTTTGATTTAAGTTGTAAATTTATCAATGGGAGCTTCGCTTTTAGCTGTGGCTAAATATATATATTATAAATTACTATTAGGGTGTGAACAGCAATAAACATGAAGGTTGATATGACTACATTCCTGCGTAATAAGGGGCTATGATTATGGACTCTGGCTTCACATAAAGTTCAATATTTAGTTTCAGGGCTGGCGGATTTATCGTCCAATAAAAAATACGCTGCTTTGTGCTCGTCACTAATATGTATTAATAAATATAAATCAATATATAAATAAACTAACTGACTGAATACAATTCATATGCATTCTTAGTACAGAATTTCATACCTTCATACTTGGTCTGAATTTTCCTTTCAGTTGCTTTTCCCTCAAACACGTAATTTCTGGCAAACAACTCAACAGTGTAGTTTGTGCTTTTGTTTAGACTTCCAATATCTTGATGCTTGACCGACATATTGGTAATATTCCTATTTTCTATCTCCGTGTTACCCCGCAGGATCAAAACTCTGTATGCTGTAATAGGACTTCCTCCATCATCAGCTGGTTTTGTCCACCTAAGTGTTATTGACGTTGCCTCAATCTTCACTGTGACGGTCGGTGAGCCTGGTGCCTCTGAAGGAGAACAAAATAGGTCCACAGAAATGCATACATGATAGAGGGGGGATTTCAGGTCAGCAGTTTGTATGCTTGTGCGAATCAGGGACCCGTTTCGGAAACTTTTCGGGCCGGAACCCAAATTTTAAAATTAAACGCTAAAGAATATTACTATAGCTCCCAGCTCCATTTTGTCTTGCTACCAGATGGTTATATAGAAAGGCTACAAGACGAAAATACAGAGAAAAAGAAAGAACCATACATGACATAACAAACAGGGGCAGGATGGAAAGCACTACGAACCAACTATATATATTCCCTTGCACGATTTATAGCAAGCTTGATAGACACCTTCTCCTGACATTAATTAAAAAATAAAACTGAGGTGATGATGCCGTTGACTGCTGGCTAAAGCTCGGATTTTGACTTTTATTGTTAATCACAGAAGTTAAATGCCTCACCCGGAAAATATTTTAAAAGACAGATCTCGAGGCAGAACTAAACGGTAAATTTATTAGCCTAAGGTCCACCCCCTTTAAACAAGGACACAAAAGACAACTTGGCATTGCCAAAATAAGCCAATTCGAAATTAATTAAGCCCCATCTTCTGTATTTATTTATGTTTCTTAGTGAAACCAACAGACGAAATGTTAAAAATAACAACATACAGGTGGATAACCACCTTTGCTTCTAGGCATCATAATAAGTACAGGTAATCACATGATTTCGAGTGGAATTTGGAATAAATAAGCAAAAAAAAAAAGTAAATTTTTCAAAGACCAAAAAAGTGCACGAGCACGTAGGGCGAGTGCACTTTGTGGTCTCTGAAAAATTTACTCGTGCTTATTATTATTTGCACGAGAAAAATCATGTGATTACTTATTAATAATATACACAAAAAAATAACCACAACAACAAATTTTGACAGCGCGCACGTTTTTAGTTCATTCAACTGATTGGCTGAAACAGACTACTACCTTTGTCAAATAGGCCATTTGCACGATGGCGTCATTTTACTACTACGACCAGAATTCTTTTGGATTTTCTTTTCATATTTAAATTTGGTAATTCCAGTGAGGTTTGAATAACAAAAGCCCTAATTTGCACAGGTCATGGTAGTAAAATGACGCCATCATGCAAATGACTATTCAAATTTTTTCAAGACCAAGATTTCAAAATCATTCGGCTAAGAACTTGCAAATATGCAAGGATTGATTTAACATGGCCATCAGCCTGTTAAAAATAACCCGGTTTACAATAATCAGTAAAAGTAAGTGTTTTTAAATTCATCCTCGATTTTGAGAGCTCGGCGTTTACAAGAAGCGTTTGCAAGAAGTATATACTGCCGTTTAGAAATCTGGAGAACGCGTCGAGCAGCCAAATATAAAAGACACTTGCTGAGTTGTTTAATGACTGTTCATCATTGTCTGTTCCTGAGACTCCATTACAGCTGGATTCATGGAGAAATTTTTGAGATTCACAACCCGAAAATGAAGCTGGCAATTTGTTTTCTTTCGACGCTGTCATCGATGGGTGAGTGGAGCCCCAGTTGTTGTGATGTTGGAAACTGCCAGTATCAATTGAATATAATATTTGCATTTTCTCAGCACTGACGTTTTCATTATTTCATTTAGCCTTGGCCTATTGCAAAAGAGAATCATCGTCGCTCTTCTTCATCGGCTTCGTCGTAGTCTTTGAGGGAAATTTATAGATCTGTGGCCTTTGACATTGGCGATATATTCTGAACTTACAATCTTTGCTTTCTTCAGCTTGCTGACTGTTGTTTTTCTCGCACTATGATCAGGGGCACCCAACGAGAATATAGTTCAAAACCACTTAAACATAGCATTGTTAAATGTATTTTAGTATTTAAACGGTAGATATAGGCATATTTTTATCCCCTAAAAAATTTTCATCTGTTTGGATTTCCTAGCTGAAAGTCTAGTGATCCGAAAATTATAGGGATCAGAACTTACCTTTTCGAAAATTTCAGCCAGAAAAAAGGCTCCCGAAAATTCTAGCTGACCTTTTTAGGGTAAGAATCCGTTAAAAATGGGTAATTATACCATTTTTTGGATGTTCGAAAATCCTAGGAGAGGCAGGCAAGCAAGAAATTTTACAACAGATGTTCCGAAAATTCTAGATCTCAAATCGTCTTCCGAACAGATATTTTCCGAAAATTGACGTTGGGTGTCCCTGTATGATTCGCAAACTTTTTTCTCACTTTCTTTAAGGCTAGTACCAGCTAGGGATACTTTCATTATGTTAGTTATGGTATGTTCGCCCATTGGTTTAGTTTAAACCAGATGTTATAATTTTCGGTTTCGTTTGCTACTGAGGTAGGAAAAAAAACAGACCTGCAGACCATCGCATGGCCAGTGTTTTAATAGAGGTCTTTGCTCGACAAACGACTCAAAGAAAATAACCGGACACCTTTCTCCTTCAACAAAATAACGTACGTGACTTAAAATCCATGTTGTTATCATGGAAAACTTGTGTCCTTGTTCATTTAAATCGCTGAAAAGTGTAGCTGTCATGGCTTGCGTGTGGTTGCCACCGTTTTTGTTCTTTATTTTTTACCTTAGAGTAGTCTGTTATAAGCAGCTTGTTTAGTTTCTCTGGCTTATTTTCCTCGCTTTTGTTGGCAGTATTTTTCTCTTAACACCACAATTTCAATACATTTAGCCAGAAAGACGTACTTTTTGCCGTGTTCGGGTTTTTGGATTTTTTTTTTTTAACTTTTCTATTGTTGTTTTGCGTACAAAATCAAATCGTTGTTTGCAGATAACCATGGCCATTTTCTTAAATTTTGTTGTTAAAACAGCTAAAATCTGTTTGGTTCTTGGTGGTTTCTTTTGTGTTTTCAGCTAATCATCAGAAACCATTTGTAATTTGCACTCGTGTTACAACTTTTGCACTCGTGTTACAGAAGAACTGCACTCGTTTCTCAACCAACCAGAATTGAGTAATTTTTTCGCGTATATTATTGGGCTGTATATAATATACCCAACATCTAGGTATGTGGATTAATGGGCCCTTTTTGGTCCTGTCTTGTGTTTGATTGTAAACATCTACAATACACAAACACCTGCAATTAGTATGAAGTATCATCCTTTTGTCATTCTGCAGTTGGCGAACATATTATTTTTCCAACTTTAACCTGTATGCATTTAGGGGTACGGACGCTTTGTAGCCAAACAGTCACATGGTGCACACTCACCTTGCTAGAGGGCAGACGACAAAGTGGGTTTTGGAAAGACGGGAAATTCGCCTTACAAACGACGTAATCGTGGGGTTTTTCTTGGCCATGCTCAAGGAGTTTTTATCCCAAGAGACTTCTTAGCTGCAAAGGGCCAATACCCCTTGATGCATATTAAAAATGAAAGAAGTACTTGCAACCATCACGCAAACGGCAAAATCACAGAATCACAGATATTTATATACAACAAAGGAAAAGATATTCCACTTACTTATCTGCTGCACCAGCACTGTGCTTCTATCAGTATTAACATTATTAGTAGCCTCGCAAGTGTAATTACCAAAGTCCTGATCACTTTTCATCAGCACATCTACTGTTGTCTTCAATTCTTTTTCTTGCCGTATTACTCTCCCACTCGGGCTTTTCCAAGATAAGGTTGGCGTTGGGGAACCATCTGCCTTACAAGTCAATTTTACAGTTTCTCCAATCCAAGAATAGGATGTTATAGGAGCGACCGTCTGTACTGTAGCTGCATCTGTGAAATACAATCATGCCACCAATCAAAGACTATGAATATTGCTATTGTTTTCGATGCAAAACTAAAGGGCTTAGCTGTGTTGTGATTGTTCTCTTAACACTGATAGTACGTTGCAATTAATTTCTTTGTTATTTTAATATTTATTTATTTTTATTTTTTTTTATGAGTTAAGGGAGGAAAAATGACTGTTTTCTACCAAGGTACCCCATGAGGGCGACAAAAAAAAAGTCGGCAAAAAACTACCAATAATTGTTTTAAGTTATCGTACGAATATAATGAGCCTTAAAATAAAGTGTAGGAAAATAATGAAATAAATATATAACTTACGTCACTAACTTACAGTTTACCAGTTAAACTCATATAGCATAGTGTAGCAAATGTACGTCTTTCTTATCGGAAAAAAGGTGATCATCAGAGGACATATTTCATTTGATAGGTTTAACTGCTTTTACTGCTGAGACCATAATCCATTCCAAATCGCCATGCATCATGAAATAAATAATCGTACTCACATTGTACAGTAATGAAGACATCACGGATTTTAATACCAANTAAAGTGTAGGAAAATAATGAAATAAATATATAACTTACGTCACTAACTTACAGTTTACCAGTTAAACTCATATAGCATAGTGTAGCAAATGTACGTCTTTCTTATCGGAAAAAAGGTGATCATCAGAGGACATATTTCATTTGATAGGTTTAACTGCTTTTACTGCTGAGACCATAATCCATTCCAAATCGCCATGCATCATGAAATAAATAATCGTACTCACATTGTACAGTAATGAAGACATCACGGATTTTAATACCAAAACCATTATCAGCAGTGCATCTGTAACCTCCCTCATCTTGTCTCCTGACGGCCAGAGGAAAGGTGACGAGACTGTTACTAGCAAGTCTTGTCCATGTGATGTTTGAAGGTGGATTGCCATCAGCTGTACAGTTAAGTATCACCTTATCTCCCTCATTTGCTGTCTGATTATGAGATACGAGTGTTATATTTGGTGGACCTAACAAGTCAATAAAAGGATAGTAAATGAAGACCTTAAGTAGTTGGCAAGGATGTTTTAGGACAAAAGCTTCCAGAGGTCAATTTCATAAAACTTTTACAAGGGTAAGTCACAAGTGTAGCCATTGTTTGAGGTTCTGAAAATAATAGCTACACTTGTATTGTAAATTACATTAAATTGACCCCAGGTTTGCGTAAAATGTACATCGCCATTAAGCGATGCTATCTGAAAACGGTCACCTCCGTTGTAAATACAAAAACGTTTCAAGGTCAACATCTATACTTGTGTTTTAATTTCCCGGCCCCGGCGCCTTGTACCGTCATAACCTTTTTGATCGGATGTTCGTAAAGATGGCACATAATGAAACCATCAATGAAAAAATTCTCTATATAGCTTAAACCTTTTGGCAGTTAAAACTCAAGAATCAAGGCAAACGGCTCACAAGCTCTCCGTTATAAATATTTTACTATTGCGAACTCCTTAATCATTAAAATTTAGCGTTAGTGGTTTATCTCTGCCAGTCATGACCCATAACTGAGTATTTCTCATTCTTGAAGCGCCCACCCAAGGAGGAGCCATTTGCACTTGTAGTATCGAAAAGTCCCAATAATTATACAGTTAGAGTCTTTTTGTAGACTAACGTTTGGAAACATCGTAAGAAAAAAAAAACGCCTATTACATTTCGGTAAAATTGGGCAATAGCACACCACAGTCGTAGTATAGCGGAATCGAAAAAAATCGTAAAATCGGAGACTTGTATTCATTAGAGCGTTTTCATAAAATCGGACAATAGCACACTACGGAGTCAATCTGTAGCACTAAACCAGAGAAAAATACCCCTAAATCGGCTATACTATTTTCCGATTTGGCACTAATCGCATTGCTCTGAAGCTGACTACACAACCGTCCTCCTTCTGTCTAACCGTTAGTCACTGTCAAAAGCAGTCCTATTCAGGACTACACTTACCCGGACGATCATAGCCCACCTAATTATGAAGATATATGAAAATTTACAATTATTTTACAAGTCATATCTCGTCCTCGCACGAGGAAAAGATACATACCTAGAACAACTAACTGCACGAAGTCAGGTATTTCCCGCAAATTTGGGTCATCAGGTTTTAGCAAACATCCATAAAGTCTCTCATCATCTTTTGTAAGATCATAATTTTTAAACAGGGCATTAATGGAAATCAGGTTTTTTAAGTGACATATTGTTGTAGGTTAATATAATGTTAGGATTAGGATTTTTGGGTTTTAGGATGTTAGTCATTGTATTAGAATTGATTGTACCTGATGAATTTTTTACCGTGTACAAATAACGATTAAAGAAAAAAAGAAAACCACTGCACTCAAAGAACTTAGTTTGTGGTTACATGGTCCAGAATTCCTGTCTAAGGAAAGCGCCTTCTGGAGGACCCTTCGGGGTCGTCCATTTTCCTTTTTGTAACTTGGTTAAATAAGGGCTCGATAGTCTGTAGAATTTTTGTCTACGCCCAGCTGGGCTTTGAATTCGTCGACATTGAACCCGAATGCGTCGAGATGTTCATCATATTCCTTCGGTTCGTCGATGCTACGTGGTGGCGACGAGTCTGTATCCTGCTGAACGACCTCAACCGGCTTGCCTTCCAGTGACATAGTACGCTAATGGTGGTCAAAGGGGAAAAAACGGCTCTGATAAACCTGCTGACCTTGAGAATAGTACACGAAAGGAAAAATTATCATATTGATGTCCAGGGTTTTTTATCCTCTTCCCAATTTAAATTAGAATGGCTTTTAAGTGTGACCGCTGACCATTAGCATCGAAGGAAGTACGTAAATTCAGCCCATAGTGCGGAGCTTATTGAGAGAGAATTGACTACAACATTCGATTTGGAATTTTCTTCTAAATTCACGTAATTACAGATGACAGATGACTGCAGAAACCGCTTCTCCACGAATAGCTAAAATATTCGTTTCTATGTTGAATGCAAAAAATAGGATCGATGTGTTTATTTATTTTATGATTTTTTTTTTTACAGGGGAAAACGGTCAAACCATTACGAAACATGTTCAGCCATTATGTAGGAAGAAAAAGATCGGAAAATCAAAAATGGACGAATGACCCACGGACCCTGTCAACGCCAACGATCTGTAAATCAAACAGCAGCAAGTGACAGCAACTGTGCGGTCTATTGTGTAACGAGAGGAAATTTCACTGCGTCAAGCGACTTTTCGGCCTGTCAAACCAAATTGGCCGGAAAGTCGAACTAGGAAAACAACGGAACTAAAGCTCTTCGCAAGGGCGCGAGAATTAGCAAATAGTGATCTGCTAATGGAAGTTAATGACGGGGGAAACTGCAATTCCTCGGGGGTGGAAGCTGAATACTGAATAATGAATAACGGGGTTTAAAAGAAAATGAAAAATGAATATTTGGAGTAGGAAAATCCGGAATTATGAATAATAGTGTCTAGCCTCGGAATAATGAATAACTCATAGCTGTTAAATAATTCCATAAAAACGGAAGACGAAGGAAATTATTTCAACTTTTCCGACCATCGCAGACCGATTGGAATCCGCGCGATGGGTTAGTCTGACTCACTTCCGTTTTAAGCTCAGGCAAATAAAAAAATCAAATCCATTTTTCTATAGCATAGGTAAACGAAACATTAATCACGTTTTCTAGTGCCATACGAAAACGAAAACCGAACTTCACAAAACTGTTATTCGTTAACGAAATCTAAATCCCTTTTTTTTTTTCAAAAAAATTGTTTTTGAATTCCATACAAAAACGAGAAACGAGGAAGGAAATTCAAATCCGTTTTTAAGAGTGGTTGTCAGAGAAAACCGGGCAAAATGTTAAAAGTGTCAACGGAAGGGGGTCAACAGAATAAGTTCATACTAACATCATAGATAGGTCTGGTGGAGTAAAGGACAAATATACCAAACATAGGTTCTTCACTGCTCTTGTATTAGAGATACGAGCATCACTTTATTCGACCCCTTCGGACGCCATTTTTATAAGCAAATTTTCTCCATTTTCTGAAACTCACAGAACCCTTAAAATTTAACGAGCGAAGTTCATTTTTTGTATGCGAGTCAACGCAACACAGAACTACTAAGATTTTAGTATTTTAAACAATTCATCGGTGCCCGTTCTGATTTTAAAAGAATAAAATAGACTGGATTTGAGTCACGGACGTTTGCTCGATTTTTAGCCCATAAAAACTTAACTACTACAGCGCACAACTGAAACGAGAGAACAACTCTGATAGTCAAATTGCAGTCTTCTATCATCCATGTAACCAAAACACTAATAATCATTTTGGGCCATTGAAACAGAAAGAAATTAGAAAACTCACATTTGTTATAGTTTCCAGACTTTTTCTTGCAAACAGGCCGATTCCTTCGTGTTTGTTTTAAGTCCTCTTCGTGAATTTTCTTTGATATTTCGCTGTAAAGTATGTTCAGCAGCTGGAGAACATTTCAAAAAGCTCGAAGTACTGCCTAGGTTACATTTTGAAAGGGCAAAAAGTGCTGAAGGATAGGATTAAACTAAAAGATAACAAAGCGACGCCATCTTGAAAATTCAGCACTCAGGAGGGACTGGCACTAGTAGCTGCCTTGTCTGCAAGATTTAAGGCGGAAAAACGTAATGAGCATGCGTGAACTTTTTTGCCCAGATCCCCTGGCCGGGTTTTAAAAAATGGCGGGATTTCAAATATTTTATTACTTAAAAATAAAATGTTTCCACTCATAACCTGGAAAGAACAGGCAATTTGTCTTCAAAAGTTGCAAGCTGTGGTTATAACCTTGTTGTTACTTAATTTTCTCGAAGAATACCTCATAGTATAACGGACTTTAACGACATCAATTTCCTTGCGTTGTACTGGAAATATGCATGCGTAGGTA